ATCTTCCGATATTTCTTTATTCTAATTTACTTCGTCAAATCAATTAATTAAGAAAAACGTTATCTGGGTCCCATAACCTGTTAAATTTCTTATTACGTAGATCGCTTAATTAATTGATACAATATTGAAAGACATTAATAGACAAGAAATAAACTTTGCAACGTTCTCGACTTGTTTATTATCAACCGGATCAACAGAAAAGGAAAAGTGAAGTTACATACAAAGCAAAGAACATTTGGTCCAAAGAAAATAAATGTATATTATAAATCATAATGTTTTAATATAAAACATAAAACTTAACATATATTAGTATTGCAAGATCAGCAATAAGTATTACAAAATGCCGGGGTGCACTGGCTATAAGGCGCGTCCCCAGGTGGTGGATAGAAGAAAGTCCTGGGCAGGGAGACCTTCTAGGATTGCATCGAATAATACGAAATAAGATGCCGCGAACCAACTGTACCAGAAAAAAGAAGACAAGAATGAAAGAGGCGGAGGATCCTAGGACAACGGCTCCAACAGCGGATGATCTTCGATTCTAAATCCACTGCCTTGTGGAACTGGGACCTTTGACCCAAAGGCTAGGTGCACTGCTTACAACAGTGCTCTCTTGGGCACGAGATAAACTGCAACCTCGCTGTCTTGTGTGCTTCCAGCAAAAAGGCTTGGCCCACTGCTTATAACTGGTGGTTGTCATCAGGAATTGGGCAATTCCAGATATAAAAAATTTTTGACCCAAACATCTTCTATGTCACGACTAATTCATTTAAAACATGCCTTATATGGTAAGACATGAGGACATTCATTCAAAATGACCACCAGTGTAGTTCATCAGGACAGCAGGAAATTTTTCTTTTCCAATAAAGTTGTTGCTGATCGTAACGTTTTGCCTTCGTCAGTGTTGAGACAGGAAGTTCAAAACATCAAATCTTTGCCGGACAGGTTTTATGACGACAGATTTTAATGGCCTCATGGAGTTTGTTGATTTAAAATTCTCTGTTTTGTGTGTGTATAACAATTATATTTTGTGACACACCTTAATTATTTTTAAATGTTCTGTATATAATTATCGTTATATTTTATTTATTTTTTTTTGTCTTGACAAGCCCATTTTTTGAAAAATAAAAATTAATATTAACATTTTCTTCTTTCTTCAAGAGCTAGCGTGATATGTCCAAAAAAACTAATTGATAATAAAACTAGATTTTTAAAAGTTTAATGAAAAATATTTAGTGTTAAAGTTTGCTGAGAGCCAGAGCATTTGGAGCCCGACCACATCCCTAACCAATTCTATAGTTTTGAAGTTTATTCATAAAAATTGATTTTCGAAATTTTTTTTTACATCAACCAATTGAAAATAAATTACTTTACAACGGGAAGTCGGCTTGGAAAAAATTGGTTTGAATCAAAAAAATGTATTCACCAAATCAAAATAAGATTGAAGATTCAACATTTTGAAATAAAGAGTTTATAGATGTTCAAAATTAGTCTAGCTGACGATAATAAAGTTGAACATTAACATGACAATGTACGCAAATTATACACGATAACAATAACAAATGTATTTAAATTAGAGCTTGTGACATTGAACATTCGTATTCTCCTTATAAATAACTCAATAACTCATGCAATCTCCAAACAAATGATGTGTATTCCACAGTTTGTAAGGCACCTGTTTTCAGCTAATAAAAAATTAATAATTATTTAATTAATATCTATGCAACCAATTAACAATAAAGAACTGAACTGAAAATAAAATAATCACTAATATCATGTTCATTTTGTGTATCGATATTTACAGCTTCCTCCCATAATAAAGGCGAATATTTATAGATAGAAAAGTTTATTGTTGACCACAACAAAACAGACCTGAAGAAGGCTAAAACAAAACCAACCTGGTAGGATGGTAGATTAGGTGGTGGACATAACTGGAAATTGTGTAGTGACGACGACGATGAGGTTATATTAGGAGGAACTAGTTTAGATGTCGGAGGGTAAGCCTGGCACAGTGCCAACCACACAATGCTGCTATCAATTTTCACGAACTCCAAAACTGTATCCATGCACACCTATGCGTTTGATTATATACAGTATAAGAAAATAAATTTTTTTCAAAAGCATTATTACAATTATTAAGAGTTTTACACGATAAGGAGATATTTGAATGACAACTGATGGAACCTGCTGCAAGATGGTTGGCTGTTTGGCACTGAGGTAGGGCATGCAGGGGTGGACGATGTTCATCAGGGCCTGTCCCTGGATGTCTGCCTACCAACAACAACAACCACTTAATTAACTCTAACAACTGAAGAAACAAATGCAATATGGAAGAACCAAGATCAATTAATAAAGTAACCTCCAATTTATTATAATTATGAAACCAAATTGTTATAAAATGTGAATATATTCACAAAATAAAAATAATCATTAATAAGAAACATTTAAACATTAAAATGGAAAAAATTATTTGTGTTAATAATTTTGAAAAGTGAAAAGATGGCACAAACATATCGACTCATTGGGCCAAGATTAAGCAGGATGCAGCTCTGCAGCTTGCATGCAGTCGTGTACTGGTAACTTGATGGCTGCTTTACACTGAAAACAACAAATTTGTTGAATTTAATTTCAAACTCTTCAGCGGTGCCACACTTCACGAAACCAAGCAACCTCACAAGAATACATCAACCTGCTTTTGGCGAGCGAGGTCAAAGCTTCAATGACCTTTGGCATGACCTCCGAGACCATCCTCCTCCTCACGAAATCTCCAGATGCTTCGGATATCTCCTTCAGAACTTCAAATGCCTGCAGGGAAATGACGGATCGTTAAATGAGAGTATGTGGACGTTTGCCGCCATCGTCATAAGCATCTTCACCGTCATCATCATACTAGACCACTTTTGTTATTGTTGAAATATTTCAAACTAAGTAGCTGATTGACATGGGCGATGAAAAATTTTCAATCCTGCTGAACCAGAGCCGATTAAAAATTAAACAATGTAATTAAAATGATTGAACGATAGATAGATAGATAGATGGATGGATGGATGGATGGATGGATGGATAGATAGATAGATAGATAAAAAAGTAGATAGAGTGATCGATAGATAGATAGATAAAAAAGTAGATGGAGTGATCGATAGATAGATAGATAGATAGATAGATAGATAGATAGATAGATAGATAGATAGATAGATAGATAGATAGATAGATAAAAAAGTAGATAGAGTGATCGATTGATCGATTGAACGCACAATAGATGAATCAACTGATTGTTGGGGAGATTAATAAATGATAGATGGACTAATGAATGATTAGTTTGTTTTATTGATAAATGATTGAAAAGATAAAGGATGGGTGAATGAAAAAACAGACAGATGTTCAGATAAGTTAGATGATAGATGGATAAAGGGTTTGTTTGATGGATGAGTTGCATAATGGATGGACAGATGAGTTGAAGGATGGATGAGTGAATGAGTTGAGTGATCCAAGGATGAATTAATAGAATGATGGATGGATGGATGAGTTGAATGGATTGTAGGTTGGATGTATGAACGAGATGAATGATGGATGGACCCACCTTGATAGCAATAAAGTGCTCTTCGTCTTTGAATCTGTTCACAAATGGTTTCCAAATTTTGTGCACCAGAGGCAATAAAACATCTGTTGAATATCCATACATTATAAATTATGATACACAAAATTCATGCAGGTGAGTATGAAAGTACAATTCATTTCAAACAGCCAACACAAATTCTAAATTTAAAATCATTGTGAAATTAAATGGCTAACACAACAACAAACAACAAGAACACCTTGATAGGACTTCAGTGCCGGACACAGAACGGATACGATGTGCAACGTGGTTAGCCTCATATGAACTGATGGAAAGATTAAGAAGTGTTGGCACCTGTCAAGAATCTTCCAATTAAAACAATTTCATCATCATTAATTCCTTGCCAAGATAATTTAACAGCACTAATTTTAATAAGAGAGCAGCTATACATTTACTGTTGATATTTGTTTATAATAACATTCCTATAAATAAAATGTTGTGTGAATAATTCCTTAATACTAATTTTATAAAGATTGATGTAGTTAATACAACTAATTAAATGACAGCTGGCAACAATGCTGTGCACATCTACATTAAACATCTGAACAATTTCCAAATAAGTTATAAAAAGCTTTAAATGAATTTAAACATAAATTTTAATTTATTAAATAAATTTAAATCGTCTCTAAACAATCACATCCAAGAACCAACAAGCACCATTCAGTTATTATCAAGTTACCTGTTCCATCATGTTTACATAATATGGTAGGCTTCTGTTGGAGTCACCATCAACATCTTTGTTGCTATAATCATTATTGTCATTATTATTATTATTACTATTGCTGTGGTTGTTGATATTATTGTTGTTGTCACCATTGAGGAGATGAGAACTATCGTCAGAGCGATCATCATCGGCATTATCATCGGCAAGCTGTGACGAGAGTTCATCCTCTTGTTTCACTTTCATGAGAAGTTCACTTTGAAGATTCAACACGCACGATTTCAGCCTATCCGTCAATATCATTCTCCTTCTTTCAGGAGTGTTGTAGTTGTTGTTGGGGCTGTTGTTGACGTCGTTAACGATGGTCACTTGTGTTGTGTCAGATAGATTGTGTGACGTGTTCGAATTTGTATTGTGTTCAGCTGAGGGTGCTGATGTCCGTGATGAAAGTAATAACATTGATGATGTTCCTGTTATCGGTGAAGAAAACATTGCCACAGATGATGTTGAAAATGATGATGATGTAGTTGAAAAAGAAGATAGTGATGTAATTGATGACGGTAATGAAGTAATATGTTCCTCCGCATTATTCATATGAGTCTTTCGATCATAAAAAGTTTGTTGAGAACTTTGATTCTCATAATGTTGTTGTTGTTGATGATATGTTTGTTGTTGTTGATGCTGCTGTTGAACTATAAAAGCAGCAAGTTTGGATATTTGTAGTAATAGTTTGAGAAATTGAAGGGCATGTTCATGATAATGATTATCGAGAGAATACATCACCTGGTGAAAAATTATGAGTAAGTAAAATTATGGTCAAATAGTGTGAAATAAGAAATGTACTGGAGCACCATTATCAAAAATTACAAAATTTTTAATAAAGTGTTGACATCTGCTCATGCTTTGTCGTGGACATCAGGTCAGCTCCAACTGAAACTTCCGTACTTCACATGCAACCAACTTAATAACCATACGCGCACACAAGATTTCGTTGAAGCTTGCCTACGCAGGAAATATAAACAGTTAAAAATTGATTTATTTTGTTCTGCAAATTCCTATAATTTTATTTATTGTTTTTAATTTCAGAGGCAATCAACATACGATATGACTTTTACACTAAATAAATATATACGTTAATCCATTTAAGTATAGTAAAAAGATTAATTCAACAAAGATAACTTTTGTTGTGTAGCCAACAGCTTAGTTAATAACAGTGATAGGATTTGTTTACGACTGTGCTATTGACCTGCACACACAAGAAAGAGTTCAGATTTGCCTGTACAGACTGTTCGGTTCAAACCAAATGTGAACAAAATCGGAACTAGTATAGGTCGGGCTTATTGATGAAGCTTGGAGATAGAAGTTAATGTCAGAAATAAAAACCCGGAACGGAAAAGGACTAAAAACGAGGAATGATATAGGTTGAGCTTATTGCCCGTCAGGCCGCCTGATTTCTACCCCAAAGCAACTTCCAGCAAATGAAATAAAATAGTGACTTATAGGAAAATGCAGTATTCTCTTGGCTTTTTCTGAAATCATCTTTTTTGTTTGAATTATTATTAAAAAATTTGATAAAATTATTGGTAACTAAATAGTTTTTATCTATTGTATCATCTTGGACGTATAAGAATGTATTTATTTTTAATATTGAACATTGAGAAGCAATGATTAAACGGCTTTTTTTTTACTTTTCATATGATACAAGTATTACAAACTACAAAAACATAATAGTGTTTAACTAATAGTGTGAGCAAATACGCAAATACAAGTATTACAAACTACAAAAACATAATAGTGTTTAACCCATTGAGCAAATACGCCACCCAACCAGGGCCGTAGCCGGGGGGAGACATTGCCCAGTCTAGAAGGCCGGTTTGCCCACATAAGATTTCATAAAAAAAATTAATAATTTTTTCTAAATCATAAATAATTTCAAATAAAAAAACAAATTTTATTTAAACTACGTTTACTATGAAATTTTGCATTTGTAATAGTTTAATATCCAATTTCCAGCATGGATTCCTCCTCACATTCAAATAAACTTGGCTACGGGTCAGAACTATATTCACGATATTTTTTGTTTAAAACTCGAACGCCATTTTGTCTGCCGGTATCTTTTATTTCGTTTTTTGTAATTATCTTTTTCAAGCATTGCAATGTCTGATATCTTTTCAAGTGTTAGCGAAATTTTTTCTAAGGGGACAGATTAGAATGCTGCGGTTATCAACGCAGAAGATAACAAGTTCAAAATGCTACTCAGAAGCAATTTAAAATCCTTTATAAGCTGCAAACAGAAATTTTAGAGCAATTCAGAAACTTTTCAGAGAACCTTAGTGCTGACAACAAGCTCAAAATCAGTAAAGTGAACCCGAGCAAAAAAATTATTGAATTTTTGTCTGCCAAGTTACCAAAGTATGGTTCTAATAACGAAACCTACAGCTTAGGTAATCTGTCTTTTATTGAACTTGAGTTTGATGAGTTTTTCTCTATGTCTAAAGTTCCAGCAAGTAGTCAAAATGACATTTTCAAGTGGTGGAGAGCAAATGCAGAACATTTTTCTTTGAAATCAGTTATTACCAAATCAATCTATTGCGTACCAGCTAGCAGTGCTACCATCCGAAAAATTATTTTCAAAATCTGGCAATGTCATTAGTGACCGCCGAACTCGCCTTGACCCTGAATATGTGCACATGATTGTGTACCTTCAATCTAACATGCATTTAATCAAACTTGCTAAAAATGTTATGTTGTCCGATTCAGAAGAAAATAAGCTAGCTAAGAAAACTGTCAAGAGTTCTCAAAGTTTTCAAGAAGGTAAAGAAAGAGATTCTTAACCTTGCTAATTTTTTTATTTAAAAATTTAATCTATTACATTAATAAAAAAATTTTTGAATTAAAACACTTTTTAATAAACTGGTAAATCACAAATGATTTTAATTGAGCTAATAAAAAATGTGATTCATGAAGTTGTTTGCAATTTGTTTGTGTTTTTTTCCAAAATCTTAAAAACTTTCCATAGAAACATAATAAATTGTTCTTCTTCAAACATCAAAGACATTTTATTTTTAATCTAATTTCGACGATTCTGGCGAGGTGAGCCTATATATAACAAAAATGGAAGACGTGACAAAGCAAGTGTGACAGGTAATAAGCCTGGTTCACAACTCTTTGAGAGGAAAAATTTAGACAGCCTTATTTTATTACTCCATTTGTTTTTCAGAGATTCTGTAATTGAGCAGGACAAAAAAAGAAAGAGAAACTTTTTTTTCTGTAAATTAAATTCTGTCAGACGTAGAGAATGTAATATCATGCAAGGTATGAGACGTGGAAAATAAAAATTATGATGGTAAAAAAATTATTACTTTAAGTAGATATAAAATGAAATAAGAATGTTAAGAATGTTTATAACGTAAATATTAAAAAAATGGCAGCAAACATTCGTTCACTTCATGGCACAAAAACTGCAAAATTTTTTTAACACAACACGCAAATTCGATCTATTTTTTTATTATTTTTATAAAAAATCAGAATCTGACAGATGTACAAACTGTGTGTGTGTGTGTGTGTGTGTGTGTGTGTGAAATTCTACATAATCCATTTACAAAAAACAGAAGTTACGGCTCGGCCACTCGCTTCCAATCGATGTTGTGCACTGGTGGCAGATTTAAAATTTAAATAGATGTGAAATAAAAAAACTTAATTCTGACATTCTGTCTATGTTATTGTGGCATTTTCAGCACGATTGTCATGTGGTGATTTTTTTATTGTTTTGGTTTTCTGTTGAGTTGATTCTCATTACGACTGAAAACGTGGTGGAGCAAATTGATTTTCCATGCATTATATACTCTCTAGAAACTATCAAATTTCCGAATTTTACCTTACTTATAGCTTAGCAGATATTATAAATAAATGTAACTTCGAATTTATTTACGAAACAATTTATAATTAATATACCTTCGCCGTGGAAGGTAGAGATGGTAGAGCATATTGAAAGGGTTCAAAAGAGAGCAACAAAAATGATAAGGGAATGCAGGGGACTAAACTATGAGGAAAGGCTTAGCTATTTGGGGTTGCCAACGTTGAAGTACCGATGAGTTAGAGGAGATCTGATTTTGTTGTTTAAAAAATTTCTTGACCTGAATGATCAAGATTGTTATCCTGATATGTCTTTGTACTTAAATGAGAGAACAAGAGGACATGATAAAAAACTTAGGAATATCCGGTTCAAAAGTAACTTGCGAAAGCATTTTTTTACTTGTCGTATCATTCCTGTGTGGAATAAATTACCTGCCAATATAGTGAACTGTGCCACTATTGACAGATTTAAAAATTCCTTGGATGATTATTGGAAGAATGAAAGTTTTAAATACAACTGGAGAGCGGAAGCGCCTAGATAAACATGGAATCCTCTGGAATGTATTCGTGTGTATTTGTGGGTGATGTGCAGATGTGTGTGTAGCAATGTGTACAGTACACGCTTATAGGCTTTGTGCTGATTTATTCACTGATTTAGTTATATAGGTAAAGATAACGATATATATGATACACATTCTGTGTTAGGTGCACTTGTGTGGCTAAAGGTGCTGAGAATTGGTAGTGTCACTTCCGACATGATACACACCGGTCAATTGTGAAGTTTCGCGGGTGTGTTTGTTTTGTTTTATTTGTGTGTGTTTGTTTTGTTTTATTTTATTTATTTCTGCACTTGAGACTTCATTGTTAATAATTAGGTAAGAGAATGACCATCTATAATTCTAAGATTTTGGCTAAGATTCTCAACACCGGTAGGTGTTAAATTAACTAATTTGGAACTAACTACATTTATTTCTAATAGTTTTCAGGGTCGACAAGAAATTCGACTTGTGATGGAAATGTATACGAATACTAAGACTCTCGTCAGCACAACGGTTGGAAACACAGATGCATTTGACATCGGCGTTGGAGTTCACCAAGGCTCGATTCTCAGTCCAAAACCGATACGCACTGGTGACATTTGGAATCTAGTATATGCTGATGATATCGTTTTAACAGCCACGTCTGAGCAGAATGCAGCACAGATGTTTGAAGATTGGAACACCAGACTCGCCAATCATGGATTCAAAGTCAACATCAGCAAAACCAAAGCAATGAACACTGGTGAACCCATCCAATCCACAGCTACTGGACGATGGCTCTGTTCAGTTTATAAAGCTGGTGGAGGTAACAATTCAATCAAGTGTCAGCAGTGTAACCAGTGGTGTCACAAACGTTGTTCAAAAATAATTGGTACTTTATCTAAAGTGTCCAATTTTGTTTGTCCTGCTTGCATCAATCCACAACAACAAATTCGAAATAGCACTGATTTTGAAGCCATTAAGGTAGAGAAAGTCACATCGTTTCAATATCTAAGGGATGTTCTGAATTGTACTGGAACAGCTGAAGCTGCCGTTCGAGCACGCATATGTGCAGCCTGGAATAAATGACATTTCCTTGCCTTTATATTGACATCCCACTACCACTATGATCAAGACTTTATAAATCTGTGATACGTCCGGTGTTGTTATATGGTGCAGAAACATGGCCAATGACAACCAAACTGGAACAACTTCAACGAACTGACATGAAAATGCTCCGTTGGATGCAACGAATTAGTCTGAAGGACCACATCAAATCTACCGAAATCCTGCGTCGTGCTGGTTTAGATGATATAAAGGACGAATGCCGGCAACACCGTCTGCGGTGGTTTGGTCATGTCAAGCGAAGTGGAAACAGTGCCATAACTTCTCTTGCAGATGTTGAAGTATCTGATACACGTCCCAAAGGCCGTCCAAAGAAGTTCTGGTCGCAAACAATCGAGCAAGACATGAAAGCTCTAAATTTAAATAAAATGGATACAACTGATCGTCTAATTTGGCGCAAAAAGTTGATGGCAAAGAAAACAACGTCCTACCTTGGGAAACTGGGTCTCTGGACGCTAAACGAAGATTGATTGATTGGTCGACAAGGATGGCGTAGCAACGAGGCTTGTCTGCAGTGGACGATATCGTGAAGCTGGATTGGTGATGGCCCGAATGAAGTGACGGATGGTGTGATGGGAGAATTGGTGGTCATTGGCACAGGCGATGAGGACTATACGTTGGATTGATAGACAGATACATATTGCTTTTATATATATTCAATTATTTTGTTATCGATATGGTACTGTAGTTTACTTTTATTGTTGTTGTTATTATTATTATTATATTTATTTATTTATTTATTTGTTAGTTTTTTAATACTATTTCATATTATTATTGTTTTTTGGACATTTAAATTATTATCACATATTAGATATGAGCAATATTAAATGTTTATTTATGTTATATAATCAAATTAGTAAAAACTTTCACATTAAACTCTATTCAAGACCTGCACTAAATAAGTTTTGCCAGAGAAGCCACGATATTTACCGCGGACCCAGTAATTTATATTGTACACAGCGACATATACACACGCACCAGTATAACTGCACAACTCAGGCCTGTGCAGACAAGCCTCAGCAAACTGCGGAGTGCCTGTGTAATGGTTTCTGTCTTGCTAACCAATCAATACTTGGTTCCTAATCCATTAAGAAACTCCAAAAAAATTTTGATGTATTCTCTTTGATATAACATTATAATATATTTTTATTGCTGGCTTCACACTTGTCATGCTGTTTCGAAAAATTCAAAGCATTTAATCACAGTACAATCTTCTGAAGAATGTCAATAGAGTGAATAACATAATAATAATAATAATAACAACAATAATAATAATATGATTAATCAAAATTCACTTCATTTCTATCAAAAATTATAATATGGTTTTTAATATGATTTGGGTTAATCATAGTTTGCTTCAACATTCAAAGTTCTCGTGTAAATAAAGCAAAAACACAAAATAAGCTAAAAAAAATAATATTATTGGGCATAAGATAGATGAAACTAACTTGTTTAAAGGCACTGTTAACTATTTTCAAAACTTGTGATGAAGACGATATCAATGATGATGACGACTGCAATGATGTTGACGACGACGTTGATGACAATTGCAACGGTGTACTCAACTGAACAACAACTCTGAGAGCAGTGAGTATTCCCGGGTGGCTCGATAGGGACTTCAACTGTGAGATGCTGGCAGACATGAGGTAGTCTGAGCACCTGATTAACATCCTCACCACAAGACCACCTTCATCTTCACCGCTAGCATAACAAACTTCAACATCACTTGTCGATTTGGCCATGTTGTACAATGCATTGAAAGCTCTACATCTGTACAGTATTACAATGCCAAATTATTGTTGTCTTTGCTTCATTAATGTGCAACAAAAATATGTTTATACTGAACAAATTTACTTTTTGTGCAAATAAAACAATATACTCCACTCAATGAAGAACAGTTAATAAAATAAATTGCCACCTGATTTCCGGTCTTGATGATCCAATTCTTTCTAAAACAGGAAGCAGAACTTGTGAGAGGCAGCATTCAAATCGTCTGCCCATGACCATACTCACTGCACCAAGAACATCCAACAGCAAACAGCTGAATATTACCTCTTCTTTAATTTCCTTTGGAGTCAGGAAAACATGACCACTTCCTGAATTTTGCAACTGTGTATTAAGAGTTGTGGTTAATATTTACATATTCTTTGAAAAAAAAAATTAGGATGGGTCTCAGAAAAATTAACAATTGGTAAGTTATATTGTTAAATTGCTAGAGCATGGAATGAAGGTAGTGGAGAGGGTGCTTGAGAGGAGGTTGAGAAATATGGTGACAGTTAATGAAATGCAGTGTGGGTTTATGCCTGGTAGGGGAACGGTGGATGCGTTGTTCATGG